CTTTGCAGCTGGTGGTCACGTGACCACACCTACCTTAAATTAATCAGCAAGGTCAAATTGATGTTCAGAAATGGAAGGAGGGGATCAAAATAAGTAAGAAGACATAGTTTCAAGTCTCAACACTAAATATTTAAAATTGATAGCAAATRTAAAATCAKTTTTTTCTAAAAAAGCATATTCAAAAACAGAATTGGAGAGCAAGGCATTAAATGTCTAACGATGGCAGGTGGTTTAGATAGTTAAGTTAGGTTATGTAAAAAAATGCTTAAGACTCGATTATGACGAAAGAATTGACAGCATTAATTTGTGTGAAAGTTGTATAAAAGAAAGAAAATATTGATAAGAAAGTACCAGAAATACAGAGATCTCATAGGGCTTTTTTCTTCCTAGTATTTTTAAGAAAAGCAACAATGCTCTAACTCCAAATGTTCCTAACATAAAATACAGAAAAAATACTATTTAGAAATGCTGTTTTTWTTGTTTTGTGTTGTTTGATTGATATTCATAATGTCTTCATTGTCTTGTACATTAAGAAAGCTAAAATAACGAATCTTTGGTCCTTTCTTTCCATGTGTTCAAAACTTCGAAACCCGGGCAAAGCAYACTGGGAGTACACAGGGATACCACAAAGAATCGATTTTCTCAAAGAAGCGATATTGTTTGTAAGTAAGTTGTTTTAAAGTAACACCTTTTCCTCGCTTTATTTCACGATGAAAGTTAATCCACCGTTCTTATACGCGGGTTTTTATTGCAGTTCTTCACTTTTAATGATGTTTTAAAGATGCGAATCAGTCCGTGTTTTCCATTGCAAATTAAGTCATGAGTATAGTTACTCATTGGTTGAAATTGGTCTGGACATATGATGAATCATTTATTTTAGCCATTTTACTGGAAGACTTTCAACAGACGACAATGGAGCTTTCCAACTCAACAACAAACTTTTCAAACACTAAATGTCCTCAATTTTCACCAAAAGGTCACTTTTCACTTGTCACACCGATAGTTCTTTGYCTGATAGCTGTTGGTACCAATATTCTAGTTTTCTGCMTTGTTGTGTTCAACAGACAACTTCACAAGACTGTCAACTTTTACATCGTCAACATGGCCGTCTCTGACACTATCACGGCGCTGGTCATATGCTTCAAATACGTGAATTTCTTCTTCTACGAATCGCACGAGCTGTTTACACCAAACGATACTAAATGCAGACTTGAAAACTACTTTAAGAGGATCTCTCCAGTAGTCTCTCTGCTTACAATGCTGGTAATAAGTATTGATAGGTATCGGGCTGTTTCCAAACCGTTGGAAATGGCAGCAACGTCAAGAACCAAACTTATTGGATGCATTGGATTGACCTGGATCATTCCTGGCTCTCTATATATCTATGCTGGGATCCTCCTCAAGTATTCTAGGCCGAATGGCATGTGTGACAGCTTTGCACTTTATCCAGAGGCTTTAGCTTTTAAAATAGTATCTACATCTGTCCCTGTCCTCGTTTTTGCATCGACAGTATTTCTGAACTTTAAAATCATCAAAAGTCTGGACAAAACTACAATGGAACTGTCCAACATACAAGAAAATGAGAGACAGAAACGACTGAAGCCCATCAGAAATGCTCTTTTAATGGTTCGGTGTTCTTTAGTGTCGTTTTTTGTGTGTTGGTTTCCGGTTCACTTGGGCAACGCGCTTTCAAGCTTTARTAAGGGTTTTAGCAGGAAAAACTGCTCTAACATTTTGACTCTTATAATAGCTGAGAGTGTCCTCAACAACYTGCTGATCGCTAACAGTGTATTCGGACCGATTTTTTATTTCATATTCATCCAAGATTTTAAGAACATTTTCAAGAAACTATGCCTTTGGAAGAGYTGTTCTGGCACACTGTCAGTGAGATACAATACCAAGCAAAGTTTGGAAGWAGTAAACGTTGGATTTTCAGAGGCCGGGATCGAATAATTAAGTTTTAAAACAATTTAAAACAGTTTAGTTTAGAAAGCATCAGAAATGAGATGGACAAAACAAGAAAGATGAATTAAGTGTCTTATAATTTGTCGCAGCATTTTTTGAGGGAATACATGAGGTGAAGAACTTGCACTTATTTTCAGTATTACTATGAAAAGAAAATTATTTATTGAAATAAAAATCTTAAAAAAAAGAAAAGAAAATGAAGCGATAAAAAAAGAAGAAAGAAAGAAAGAAAAGAAAACGAAATGAAAGATGAGGATCGCCGAAGAAAGACAAAAATAAAGTAACTGAAAATTCAGATATAATGAAGCTCTCCATAGTCATAACCATAAAAAAATGAAAGTCAAGGTTTAATAGTCCAATACGAGCCTTAAAAGATAGGGAGTATTTCTGTAATTTTTTCCATTGGTTTAATTAGCACTAAATACTGTCACTAAAACTGTTTTCTTGAAAGTAATTCCTGATGGGCMCTCATTGACAGTTTTTTTAAAGTTTGTGTTAGACGAGGAAATKGCTTTTCTCTCAGCGTTGGTCTTTTGAAGTTTAAATGGAAACGAAGAAGAAAAAGTCTCGACAAACATAGCTGATCGAGGATTTCCGCCAAATTAAGACATATTTGAATAACCCATGGAGAGRTTTTTATTTGAATGTAAAACTATACTCAACGTTAAGGTCATTTATATTCACAAATTTGACAAGTTGTGTCTTGTAAGGTATATGTTTATATATAAAATACAGGTAGTTGGATTGAGCCTCAATCTTTTGCCTAAAAATATGAAAAAAAACCGGTTTTTTTCATATTTTTAGGCAAAAGATGGACACTGGAATCATCTTTGCTGTAAAGCGTTTTAAAGTAWATTTGAATATAAAAATACACTTGAGATGTTTTTAAGATCTACATATTAAATAAGTTGATTGTAAGAACAGTTTGTTTCGAAGTCACTCGATCTGTTCCATTCCAGCTCTTTTCATTAATTTGCTTGGCTTTTAGTTTCGTTTTGTCTATATTTTCACTGCTCTAATCTTGATTTTATGCTTGGATGTCGGTTTTGGGGTCGTTTTATATTCAGTGTTTGAAATTTCCTCACGAGGAGCGTTGCTTTTTCGTTTCGTTTCGTTTCTTCTTCCAGAGATCTTCCAGGGCGTTGCTGTTTTGTCTTGTTTCGTTTTGTTTCGTTTCTTCGTAAAAGGGTTTTCCAGGGCGCTGCTGTTTTGTTTCGTTTCGTTTCTTCGTCCAGGGGTCTTCCGGGGCGTTACTATTTTGTCTTGTTTCGTTTCGTTTCGTTTCTTCGTCCAGGGGTGAATCACTCGATCAATCAGAAATTCACCAGCCACCATTTTGAATTTCAAATCGAAAACAAGGTCTAACAGACTTCGTGCCCAGGGATGTTTTGTGTGAGAGTGAGAAAAGAACAGAAGATACCCCCTGGGCTCCCGAGGATGTTTCATGAAATGTTAAAACTGTTTATTTCTGATTTGTTTACTTGATTCTTTTCTTTTTCGTTTGTTTATGTCTTCAATCAGGTGTTAAATGAAGAAGATCACTTTTCCTCGTTCGCCATCGGTGGTGCCGATGGACGAATCAAGTGGACCCATAAACCAGGAGACTTTGAGGCTAACCGCACTGCCAGAGAGGTACGCTTAGATATATTGCAAACTTCCTTGTTAAAGTAGTGATGACGATGATTTGCTTCAGTTTATGTACTTATTGACTGAGTGGGAGGGCCGTACGGGAAAATATTTGGCTCGAGGTTATGCCGTACGGACCTAACTCAGTCAATAAGCATTTTATCATATGACAGCGTTTTTTAATGTAAAAAAATAAATAATAGCGCGCGGAACTTCAAGCCGGGAAAATACGGGTTTGTACGGACCTGTCGCGAAAAGGCGTACGGACCCCATCACGTGACCATTTTCCAAAGGTTTCAGTGAGAGCGCGCGTAGGGCCGAAATACGGGTCATATGATAAAAGCTTTTATCAGACAACATTATTATTGTTGTTGTTGCTGTTGTTTGTTGTTTTTGTTGTCGTCGTCTTCGTTGATGTTGTTGTTGTCGTCGTCGTCCTCTTCGTTGTTGTTTTTGTTGTTGCGTAGCTGGCGTTTGCAGGGTTTTTATGAGGGGGATTCTAGCTTGGTTTTGCATTTTCAAGRCTGTGAAGATGGTAATTGACTGCAAAATGACACGAGTATTGTTTTTGATTCACACTAAACAAACTGTTCGACTATACGAAAATGTGCTACACTATTGATTTGACAAATAAAGTCTCATTTTTCAAAGACTTTGTGTGCAAAAGAAGGGGGACCCCTGAACCCCTGGAACAACTCCCAGCACACGACTATGAGACTCCAGTTTAGCCCTCAGTAGTCGACGTTGTTGTTGTTTTGAGGTGCGCGTGTCCAGTGCATGCACGGTTTGCAGCAGATACCTGTTAAATTTCTTTGGTCAACGTTCTTGTTGTTGTTGCTGTGCTGTTATAGTTGTTTGAGGTTCGTCTTGTGTCTGCACGCTTTTTGCACAAATAATGAGTTCGTGCGTTTTAACATTTCCATTATTTTTAAAGTCATTTAATGATTTCCTTCAGGTACTTCTCTCATCATACCACTTCAAGCTTGCTTTGCATCCCAACCAGCAACATGTCGGYGAGGAACACTGGTCTAAATACCACACCTCATTTTTGAACGCTCTTCCTCACCGATGGCATCATCCGTCCGACACAACACTTTCTGCTAGTTATTTCATGAAGAGTGCGAGTAAATCTACAAATAAAAAAGAAAAACAAAGCTGGTTTGACATCAAGACTCCAAATATCGATATTTTTAATTCAGATGACAAGAAAATTAAGCAGGAAAGCAAGAACAACGCTATTGTGATCCACAACAAACATGGCGTCGAGGTGGTACAGCTAAATACAGGACGACCGCTGTGTCACTATACCATCAACAAAGATGGCGTGGCAGTAGGTGATGTCAACAACGATGGCGTCATCGATCACATAACGACGCGCTTTGAGCCACGTGACCAGTCATCAACCAATGATTTGGACTGTAAAGGGGTAGTGATGTCAGAGTCACGAGTCTTGTTCGATGGGCCTATATGTCAGACAGTTTCCTTATTTGGTGGGGTGTTTGATAACGAGGTTGAACACAACGAGGAAATACTTCCGGTGCCCCCTGTCATCGTGGAAAGTCCTCCCCACAGATCAGGAATACTTCGTCATGTAATGGGTCACAACCTCAGGAGGGGTAGGGTTGGGTTTGATAGTATTTTTCTGGTCAGTACTGGCAAGGTTACTAGTTTTGGGCCACATGGAGAGGTGAATTGGCAGGTGAGTTAATATTAAAAAGTTAATGGATAATAGATTCTTTTCCAATATAGACGACTCTCATTAGCTTAATTTTTCTTTTTCGACCAAAGACATRATGAAATACTTAAGAGCAGAATTTATTTAGAAGGTCTGCAACAGTTCAGTGAATTATTAAGAAATCACACGACCTTGAGTACAATTTGGAATTCATAGTCACAAGTAATGTTTTAATTCTTCGTAATTGCACGAGATCGATAGGGCGAGAGGTTGTGCGATTTTTTGTTTATAGTACATTCAGTAAAACAATTTTTGATTAACGCTGTAATTGTACTCCTMTCGACCAATGAAAAAGTATTATTTTGTTGAATGTACTATAGCATTGATAATCCATAGAGATATTATTATTTTTTAATTACAGTAATTATATTTTCCACGTAGGAGAGTTTGCGACTAGTTTAGCAGACAAATCCCTCTTATTTTGTGAAGGGAAAAAATAGYYGCTCATACTGCATAGCTGTATCCTACCTCATGTAAATCGCTCCTTACGTAAGGAGGTTTTGATTACCCTTGACATAAAACTTTTTTTGTCGTCTTTTAAGGTAAAAATCGCTGGAGAATGGAATGGTCGTACAGAGTTAAAAAACGAGSCAAAATATTTTCCTTCTATGAAGACAGTTTCCATTCAARTGGGAGATGAAAAGGTAACGTCATTTGTACTTATTGACTGAGTTGTTCCCATGCGGGAAAATATTTGGCTCGAGGTCATCCGCACTGAGCGTGCGCAATAGCAGGGTTTTTCTTCCGGATCCGTATGCCGCCCCCAACTCACATCACACTCATATTGCACTCATCAACAGTAAGCAATGTGCAGCTACGTCATTTCTAGGACAAAGCGTGATAAGAGATTCCTAAAATATTGGAAATTATGAAAACTTGTGTAAACTCTGTGTACTGCTGTGCGCGTGAAATAGCAGTGTGGTCCATAGTGAAGCATAATGAGTCCTTTGTTTTTAGAAAGCGCTTTTGGTTACAAGCTGGCTCCATATTTCATTGGTTGAACTTGTCGATGGCGCAGTGCTGACGTCCCATACGTTACCATGCCAACCAATGTCACCAGTCGTCCATGGGGATTTCACGAACGATGGACTTACAGACTTCGTTGTTCATTGTTCTGACAGGTTCGTTAGTMTGATACTACTTTTAATGCAAAAACATGACAGTTAAAAATAATTAGYCTTACATTGAGTTCTAAACAACCATAAATAAAGGTAATTATGCACGGGTCAGCTTGCAACGGCAGCTTTCGCACAATACAACACTGTTGCATAAAAAGTCGATGCTGTTTACATTTGAAAAATACTGTAATGCTACACGACGTATTCCAAGACCGAAATGCAATGTGGGATTCCACGCAAGTGACGTTACGTCAGTGTTCCCTGCGCATTTCCATCGAAAGTAGACGACCGTTGAGTGTGCAGTGATAGAAATTTTCTTTCATACACCGTAGACACTAAAATTATTCACAAATTTCTATCATTGCACGCTCAACGGTCGTCTCGTTTCGATGGAAAAGTACAGCTACCTTTCAAGATGGTGCAGGGAACCGTGAAGAAGACTTATCTATACTCAAACATTACCTATGATTTCCCTAAATTGCAATTTTGCYAGACTTCAGAAATGAAGATTCTTGCATGCGGGTTTTTTCGCCCGTATTTGTTTCTCCGATTAGTTATCTTGGTTTCTCGTTGGACCGAAGCATTGGTTACATGTGGACAGTCATCTGGCTTGTGTGTGGTTCGCTGGTTATAGGGATGGCATTGCTTTCCATGCGGATATTTGAGGAGTTTATTCTTTAAATCATTGCTGTGCAACATCACATCAGAAAGCTGTCATCAGAACGAAACTACCAGTTATAAAGACCTGCATAAATGAGTTTGTGTCGCCTTCCTTCGGCAATTTTGATCAGGAAAGGTGGATCKTCTGAATTGCTCCTTAGGACCACAGCTCATTGATCAGTGAAAGGTAAATAAGRACATTGACGTCGCGAGTCTGTTTATACACCGTCTTCCATGTTTACATCAAATGGCTGGAAATTTATGGTATATCGTGGCRCCTATTGCTTCATAATTTTAGCCCACGAACTTTGATACAGAAGATTTAGTGTTTCGTAACAATRGCTATTTTCAGAAAGATACGAGACAAGATAAGAGCAGCATTAAGGAACACTGAAATCATAGGAACTCTGTGTCGAAATTATTCTCAATTGATGTCCAGAACAATTTCATAACTCCTTTCACAACTGCTTGTGAACAGAAAATCTCTAAAGGAAGACTTAATAAAGATTTCATCATAGCAACATGCGCATTAGTATATTATTGAACCCATTCAGGAAGTGAGTCGATGGACCGATTAGGAAGAAWGGCTATCAATGAGTCAGCTTTTCATTTTTTCTTACCAATTCTTCTGCTTCTTTTCTCTCTACAACCTCCTCTGTCCCATACCCATTTCTGGTTACCTGTACGTTCATGCCTTCCTTATTCACTACTATCTCTTTGTCTCTGTGCGTCCTTCCTTTTCCTCCCTTCTTTCTCTGTCGTTCCTCTCATCCATCCTTTCCTCGCTAACCTCCTTCCCTTCCTTTCACACTCTTCATTCCCAATGTCCTATATCCTTCCTTACATTCCCTCCCTTTTCTCCTTTCCCTTTGTCTTACATTTCCTTCCCTCTTTCCCATCCTTCCTTCTTGCCTTCCCACTTTCTTTCTTTTTGCCTTTACGTTTTCTCAGATCTTCCTTCTCTCCATTCCATATTTCCATTCCTTGTCTCACTTTGGCTTCCTCTTCTCACTTTCACTTCTTTCCCTTCTTCCACATCTTTTGCTTGTTCCTGTCTTTCCACACTATACTCTTTCCTTTCCCACTTTCTTCAATACTCTCGCTCACTTACCTCGGTTTCGACCAAAACTATCGTATTTTTAGGGGTTATTTTCAGATACGCTCAAAGATGACATGGCACACTTCTTGCAGAGTATAGGATAATTAACAAGGTGAGAAGCAGAAAGTTGCGTCCATAGTTTTATAGGTTGATTAATCTATACCTACAATCGATGGCAAAACTATTGTCATGAATGAACCAAAATTGCTTTCAAAGCACTCTTTTCTTGTTCCTCTAACGCCTCTCCTTTCCATGATTCAATTTTGCCCCTTGGAATGTGATGACCTGCAATTTTTACTAGTGTGGTGTATCAGCAATTTATTGTGGAACAGGGTGAAGAAATAGCCCAAATTTTTGAAGATATCAGTTCTTGAAGAAACCATAATCCATTTGAACACAGGCCATCTTGTTTCGAGCACTGGAAGCCATTCACAGGAAACCATCGCGGTCAAAATTTTACTAATAATTAATGCACTGTCAACCCGAGAACAAGACCGAACAACTTCCCTGCCTTTCCTCAAGTTGTGTAATTACGTGTAGTAATAACCGTTTCCCTGCCTTCAGGTCTACAGACAAAGCTGGGAACTAGAGTCTCAAAATGGAACTTAACTTATTCAGGTAAGACAGTTGTTTCGAGTTWTGCTTTGTCATAAATAAAAGAGAGATTCGATCTATTCATAGAGCTCTCTCCCTTAACCCGCGAAACAAATTTAATTATCGAAGTGTATTCACAAGTTTCACACCGGTTGGAATTGTGGAAGCTTCCTAATTTGGAAATCAAGTTATAACTTGAAATCAGTTCATACTTATTACTAGAATAGTGCTTTCGTGTTTTTTGAATCATAGTAACATGTCGTAACAATGCACAATCGTTGCCAATGAAGTCAGTATGCTACAGAAAAAAAAGTGTTTCCAAAATACTTATTAGACTCAATGGGCATCGGACTGAAAGCARCCAGCTGAAAGCGAATGACTAAAAAGAAACCAATTAAATCTTTTCTAGTGCTATAGAGGCCATCTTGTTTTAGAGACAATTATATAGRATGCCCAGAGGGCATATAAATATTCATCACCCCCCTGGTCATCTCATAAAGCATAGRACAATAGAATCAAAGATGGCGGCCAAGGAGGTAAAAGGCCCATTRTCTCACTTGGTCTTTCTCTCCGTCGATCTGTCTATGACTGCTCGCTTTGGTAAACAATGGAGTCTATCTTTTGTGCTTTTTTCCTTTTATTCATAAACGCATTGTCAGGTTGCCTTAACAGCATTGCATCCAGTTATTTTGATTAAAGTTAGTAATACTGCTGAGTTCCTTTCAGTGATTAAAGCGCTTTCTTAGGAGGGCTGCGGCAAGGTTATCAGTTTTGTTGTTTTGCCGCTTTCACCGTACTTTCCTTAATGTTATTATCATTCTAATTATTTTGARTGRACCAGAAATAGTTGTCCCTTGGCATCGAAACGGGGCGATAGTTAACTTTGAAGTTGTAGGRTTTTTTTCACGTTAATGATGATTTTCATCAAAGGTAAACTCATTCAACTATCTTCTCGCGTCTCTAAATAAAAACACGCTGCTTCCTTTCATGATGTCGTCATCTAATATCCCATCAACCCATGCGGTCAACCTCGAACCCAGGTTTTTTTATCACCAAACAAAAGAGAATGAAAAAATCCTGGGGTTGAGTCTCGCTAATCTTCGATTCTACCTTTGTAATTGGTATCGAAAAGAAATCTGCATTGGGCAATTAGGTTTTAATATGTTGACAAACACAAACATCATATCTTGATAACTTTAATATATTGAATTTTGTAGACCTGTAGGTTTGTTTATATATGATAAAATCGAGTGAATTACTGGGATTTAACATTTCTCAGTTATATTGTCACTTAAGTTAATAAGAAAGTTGTTCAATTAATTTTWTAGTGGAACTAACCCTAGTAGTTAATCTCAAAGCCGACATTTGGAATACTGATCCTGAGAAAGCTTCAAAGAGAGCTTTTGTATTTGTTGACCAGAGGCTGCCTGCGATGATGTTCAATAAAAAGTTGTTAGTCTTTTTTATTAGTTTGAAAATAAGCCATTAATTTACAAGTAAAAAATATTGACGTTCACTTATCTTGTTTATTATTATTGCTGTACTTTCTAGTGTCCAAATTAGTTATTCTAAACATCCTTTGTACCATCCCAGCAACGAGTAGTTGCCATCGCTGTTCTCGTGAAAAATCTCCCAGCACTCAAGAACATTCAAAAACTAAACTCGTTGCTCAAGAACCCTTGAGCTAATTCCAACCTGTCAAAAAGTGCACGCTCTATTAGACTCTTCGTTAAGTCCCTTAAGACACAGTCTCCGTCTTCAACGGTTGAAAAAGATCCCTTGAACAAGGGGAGGTTTGCGATGTGGCACTTGTGCAGTGTTGACTATTGTCAGACGAGATAGTGAATACAAACAAGTTTGTACACTTGGATTACAAAGTTTAACAACTGATTACATACCAGTTGCATGTGCCCACTACGGGTACAAGTTCACGGTCCTACAACCACATGGCACTTCGTTGAACACAACCAGTTATCATCGAGCGTTCACKGAATTTGATTGATGACACTTTTTGTCTGTTTATCTTCTTTTGAATTTAACTTAACTGGACAACTCAGGCAGCTTTGTTGACAAAGATTACAATCCATAAATTAGAGTATCTCAGATGTTTATTGATTGCCACAGTGCTAAGCCTTGTAGAGAAACAAATCCACCATGTCTAGAATGGTGTGTTGATATGATCTCAATGTGATTCGCACTGTTGCCAATGCCTTCCTTGCGAAATCACATTAAGTGAAGTGAAGCCTTTGTAAAGCAGTGATTTGCTGTCTTCTATAAGAGGGCGGGAGTTGTTTCACAAAACAGGGTTATTATATATGATACTTTAAGTCTCAAGAAACAGGATTTACGTCAGACATAGGGTGCTAAAAGCCTTTTTGGCAATTTCCTACGAGCTATACAATCAAGCAACAGGCTACTCGTCATAAGTCTACAAAACTCAATTGATGGACGTCGGAAATGATTGAATCTCAATAACAACATTCCTAAGAATACAGATTAGTTGGTCACAGTTGTGTGGTTATGCTAATAGCTATTGTAGTCCTATAAAAGAGTACGTAGTCTGAACAAAAAGAATGTCGAAAGAATGCCCGTTGTGGTACTATTAACTTCTCAAGCAGTATTAGTACATCTGGTGTGACCTGTCAATCATAATCAGAGGTGTTATATTACTGGGGTCACCACCAAAGGCACAACAGTCTCAACCGCGATCTCATGTCTTAGACATCAACCTTACCATGTTAAAGTTTGCTATCAAGAAAACTTCAAAGGATATTTTCCACGACGCCGTTGCAAGCAAAGATACTTCGCGATTGAAATTCTTGCTCCAGAATAATCGCCTTAGCTTCGAAGTYGACGAACTCGATGATGACGGGTTGACTGCGTTACAGCGAAGTTGCTTCATTGGAAATTTAAAACTTGTACAGTTGCTAGTTACGTACGGCGCGAATATTCATATACAAGATCGAGAGGGATGGAGTGTTCTACAYGCGTCAGCTGTGGCTGGGAATTACTCGATTCTACGGTATTTAATATCCACGGGAGCGGATGTGTCAGTTAGAAATGACTTGGGACAATTRCCTATCGATTTGGCTAATGATTTATAYAGTATTATTGTGCTACTGGAAGCCATGATAAAAGCCGGTCACGGCGATCTGATACAACAATACTTTACTCCAAGACCGTCACTAAAAGGTTTAATCGAAGATAAGTTAAGACTTTTATCGCCTGAGAACCAAGATCCATCTCATGTTRATATTAACCTGACCAGTGAAGGTGAAAATGGCAACCAGAAGAGTCAATTAAGTTTAGTGCTGAACAGCGTTAATTTACAAGAAAACTCTGTGAAGGACACTCAAGGTGACGACTCTCTAGAGAATTCGTGGAGCACTTCAAACAATGAATTAGGAGTTCGTTTAAACAAGGAGGGAGGGAAACCGGAAGAGACAAGGATTCTAGATGATAAAAGACCTCCTAAAAGAGCTATTTGTAAAAAGTGTTTKGGGAAAAAGCGCTCGTCCAGCGCTTCGTCTGCATCGTCAGATTCCTCTTCTTCAAGCTACGATTCTGCTTATATTTCCTCGCTATCTCTTCAATCAGACAGCAATTCAAATGGTCATTTAGACATAGAAAGTTTGACTAATGAATTTTCTATATATTGTAATTTATCAAAACAGACATCAAACTCAACGAAGCACAACATTCATAACTGCAAGAAGAAGGACAAGAAGCGTAAAATGAGGATGTTTTCTTCGCCTGCTCGTCTAACACCTACTAAACAAGCAGAAATGCTGGAAAAAATTCAAGAGCTTAATGGTGATGTCAACTCGCTTAATTCTGCCGGGCTTTCTCTCCTGCATGTTTGCGCAAGTCGTGGCGACGCAGAAGGCGCTCAAATTCTTCTGGAGCAAGGTGCAGAAGTTAATCGGCAAGCTTTGAATGGCAGCTCACCGCTTCACGAGGCAGCAAGGAGCGGGGATTTGGATTGTACACTGTTACTTTTATCTTATGGAGCAGATATGTTTGCAGATGACGATAATGGCTTGTTGCCCATAGACTTAGCGGACAATACACAGCAAAAATTGTTATTGCATCGCGCCATGGCAATGAAATGATAACACGCTGGGCTGATCAATAACGTAATATTTGAAAATTAAACAAAGAACTTATATAAGGGCTTTATAACATAGTTTAAACTTTGAAATTTTGTATTTAAAGTAAAACATATGATAAAATATATCAATTTATATAAGTGAGGGTGATCGAGTGTGTGTGTGGGGAGATTGGGAGAAGAGAGGAAAACCTTCCAAAGTGTATGACTTCACTGATTAAAAGTATATTTATAAATGACGACAGAGAATGAATAATTTCAAACTTTGAATGTAGTTTCATTTAGCAAAAGCGTTTGCCAGAAAGCTTTTAATTAAAAAAAGTAATATCCAAACCCTTTTTATTTGTTGAATTCATAAAACATGTCGTTAACATAAACACAGAAGGCCTAGATATATTTTCAATTGAACTGCCTCTTGAACTTAAATCAGAGCGGTGTCATTTACCGCTTATAAAGCTTTCTCATGTACACAGATTAAACACAAAGCAAACCAGTGCAAACGATTGTCGAAATTCATCTCGATCATCGTTTASTTTACCTAAATGTCGAAAAGGGTCTATACAAAGCTAAACTACATTCTATGGGACAAATGGTATGGGTAAAATAAATAGGATTGATTTTAAAATGACGATTGTGGTTAGAATTATAAATATCATATCTATATTCAACTATTCMAAAATAATAAACCGGATATCGCTATATGGATTATCACCCATTTGCCAATTACATTTAAAGATTGAACCGGGCGTCGGCAGCTTTGTCTTTTCGGCCTTTTTGTATTAGCACCAGGAGAACAGCATAACATAACAATAAAATGCGATGGAAAATCCATTAAATGRCCCACAAAAGACAGTTTTATAAACAGAACTGGTGTTTTAATCARTGCGCGGCCCCAAACCGATAGATTAGACGGCTTCTTTGAGAATTTTTTCCGCAGATTTGGTTGGATTTCGGCTGCGGTTAAATCGTGGGAAAACGAGAAAACATTGGTGTATTTAGATAACAGTAGTGTACATGATAATGTAACGTGTTGTCAAAAAGCAAGGATATCTTTAAATAATATACAAAGATAAAAATAGCTTCTCTAGAACCAGTCATGGCTTAAAAAAACGAGACATAAAGAACGTGGTTGTCTTAATTCCAGTCTTTTGAAGACCGAGCTCGTTTGGAACTCTCGTATAATTACAAATATATAATGAACAAATTGCTAAATAATATCTTTTAAATACAATTATGCCCTTATTTGTTTACTTATTGGAGTTTTGATTGAATGTTTTTAGCTCAAATTGCAATCTAGGTTTATTTATTTGTGTAGTATTGTTTTAGATGCCGGGTCAAG